CTCTCTCTCTCTCTCTCTCTCTCATGTGCCAGGTACTAACCTGTGAAGATGGCGCTGTGCTGCAGGTACCTCGACGACGAGCTGGAGCTATGGCGCTGCAGGTAAGTCTCCCTGGCCTCCGCCCAATCTCTATCTCTCTCCAGTGCTACTCCAGCTCCTAATAGCGCCCAGCGCTGAAGACTACTGCTAACGCTACTACCACTACTGCAGCGCTCCTCCAGAGTGCTGCTGCCGAATCCTGAAGACTACCTCCTGCCTCCTGAACTGCAGGTGAAGTGCCTGGGAAGTCCCTATGAACTACCTGCAGCCTGCAGGGCGGGCCAGTCTTATAGTGCTGGCCCGTCCAGGAGGCTGCTCTTGCCAATGCCAAAACGTGCCAGACCCTGGCGTTGAAGCTCAAACAAAGGTTGTCTTGAAAACAGGCCCAAAATGGCCTGTGCTAAAACCCTGGTCTGGTGCCTGAGTTTCAGGGCAGGTCAATCTTATGAGGGCGCAAAATGGCCCTCCGTTTCAGGCTGAAAAGACTCAGGGCCTGGAGGGCCCTTTTTAGGCTGAAACGACACAGGGCCTGTAGGCCCTTGTTTTCAGGCTTTCAGGCTGAAACGGCACAGGGCCTGTAGGCCCTTGTTTTCAGGCTTTCAGGCTGAAACGACACAGGGCCTGAAAGTGGCCCTCGTTTGCATGCGCAGCATGTAACAGTCCATCACGTGTCGGTCAACGGGAAAAGTACCCCGACTTCAGCGATTTTTCACGTCCAATAGAATACTCTGAGAGGTCTGAAAATTGGAGGGTCCGCAGATTTGGTCGTGATCTTTCTAGGAAAAGTATTTAAAAAAATAAAAAACTGAGTGGGGATCCGGGGCGCCCGGGTGACCAGCAGGGGCCCGGGGGAGGTTCCGTGTGACGAGTGCAAGGCTGAGGGAAAACAGGAAGAGCCGAGGGGGAGGAGAGAGAGAGGGAGAGAGTGAGAGCACACACACACACTCACTCACTCGACACGACCGATGGTCGGACGCAGACACAGTGGCAAAGACACAAAGTCGAAGTCTTGGATTCCGAATGCTGACACAGGAGCAAGTCACACTGAGTACGAGCACAGCAGCTGAAAACTGGTGCGAGACTGGTCCCCGTACCGTATGGGGAGCCGGTATAAGTACCGGTGACACGTGCGGTACCAGGGGCATTTCTGCAAAGGCCCCGAGGGCAGAACTGAAAAATGCGGTATTTGAAAGTGGCGCCCGAATTGCAGCATGGCGTCAGTTGTCCAAAATCCTACGGTACCAAAGGAGGGGTTTGGAAAAAGGGTGCCAGGCCGAAAACGGGATGCAGCCAAAACAACAAAAAGATAGGCCAGGGATCGAGCCCTGGCGGACTCCGTAACACTATCCCCTCCCTCTAGAAGGCAACGTCCCGGCTGCCAAAAATCATGAAGCAATGCTGAAATCTGTGAAGGACGGGACGGGGCCGATCACTGGTTAACAAGTCGAAAGGGAAGAGGGGTATAATGTGGGTGGGATGGGCTGCGGGAGTAAGAGGGAACAGGGTTTGGTACCGGTGAACAGGGTTGTCCTACTGATGAACTAGGGGGGGATGCAGGGAACAGGGTAGTCCTACAAATGAACTAAAGGGACGACAGGGAGCAGGGTAGTCCTACTGATGAACTAAGGGGACTGCATGGTTTTGCTATAGGTTAAGGGGGAACAAAGTTCAGGGAACAGGGAACTTCTATTGATGTTCTACTGGGTAAGGGAAACGGTGTTCAGGAAAACAGGGTATTTCTATTGATGTTCTAGTGGGTATGGGGAACAATGGTTAGGGAAACAGGGATCTGCTAATGATGTTCTACAGGGTTGTCAAAGTCAAGAAAAATAAAAATGAAAATGTTTGTTCAGGATGCAAGGGCTGGTGTGTCTGAAGGAGTCGGAAGCAGAATCTCATGTAGGAACAAAGTGTCCAAGTGTCTTGAAAGGGGGTCTGCAGCGGTCTTGATCAGGTCTTTGGAGTAGGTGGTAGAAGCGGTCTTCAGCGGCTGCAACAAGTAAAAGTCCAAGCAGCGTAGTAGTAGTTCAAGTGTCGAAGTCCAAGTGCTAGGGTGTGTCCAGTACACGAACTGCAATGAGGTCTGATCTGGAAGCAAGGAAGTCGCAGACGGATGCAAAGATCCATGTCACAAGTTGCTGCTCCAGTAAGTCCGCGAGTCGGGATGCCGGCCGATGAAACAGCATGTTGACCAAACCAGCTGCATAATCTCCATGAACAGTGAGGCAGCAGGCCATCGTCCTCGTGCGCTTGCCATTAGATCCTTTATCGCCAGCGTCACGCAGGTTCACAAGCATTGGACAAGAGAGACAAGGTAGTGGAGAGGACAAATGGGACAAGGCTAGGCGAGGGCAAGGGCAGATCAGACATCAAGAATGAGGGTCAAGGGGAGGGTGGACTGGGTTCAAGGGTGTTTGTAGAGCGGGGTTGCGAGGTTGTAGCAGGGTTTATACAGGGGTTTAGGGTTGAGAGTAGAAGAGAAGCTGCCAGTGGGATGCTCGACCGACGGGATAGGAGGCGTCGTCGGGAGGGGGGCAGGCAGAGTAGACTGCGTCGCCCGGGGGTCGTCCGATGCGATGTGCGTCACCGAAGGGGGGTTAGGCAGACGGATAGTCGATGCCAAGTGAGCCACCGGTGGCGGAGAGATCGTCACCGATGGGAGAGCCGGCAGACAAGTGGTCGATGCCTGGGGAGGATTGCAAGAGACAAGGGGACAGTGTTCAGGTGGGGGAGGGCCCGACTGTCGCGGTGGAGGAAGAAGTGGGAGTAGAAGGGCTGGGTCCCGTGGAGCGAGGGGCCGGTCAAGTAAAGCGGCTAGCGTTGGGGCAGTTGGTCTGTTGATGACCTAACTAGTGGCAGCGAAAACACCCATTGTGTTCCTGGAGGTATATGCGTTCTGCGGGTGCGAGTTTTTGGAGACGACCGGGTGGAGAGGTAGAAGGCGGTCGGGAGGCACGATCCTGGCGTTCCGTCCTCATAAGGTGGGCAGTTTGGAGGTCCTCAATGGTGAATTGGGAGGGGTCGAGAGAGGCAGTGTCGAAGATGTCATCGGAGGTGGGTGGAGTGGTGTCGTTATGGAAAAAGCGGGGGCGGGAGGGAGCGGGCACAGACTGGTGATGGGGGTGGAGGAGTCGATCGTGGTGAAGCATGCGAGAGAGGAGGTCAGCAAGGGGCATGTCGGGTTCGTGGGCGAGGGCGGTTGCAAGGTCCTTGTGGCATACTCGCTTGATGCGGGAGATGAACACAAAGTTGGGAATGACGGTGGTGGGGAGGTGGTGTCGGAGGGAACAAACATATTGGACGAAGCGGTTCGTGGAACCGGTCTGGCGGAGGTGGCAGAATTGTTCAAGGTAGTCATCAATGGTTTTCTGGGGGGGAAAGGTGGCAGTGAGAAGGTTGGCCCATTGGAGGAAGGAGTGACGTGGTCCTCTAGAGGCTCGGCGGTTGCTGACTTCAGCCATCCACCATTTGGCGGCATTGCCGAAGAGGCGGGAGGTGGCAATGGGGAGCCAGTGGGCAAGAGGCATGTGGTGGAGGTGAAAAGAGTTATGGAGCTGGGTTAGGAAGAGGAAAACGTCCTCGTGGGGGAGGCCGGAGAAGGACATGTTTTCGCCGGATCGGAAGGAACGGGGGATTTCCCCGTCGCGGGAAGTGATTTGGGCGAGGGTGTTGAAGCTGAGGTTATCGGGGGTGGTGTCGTAGCTGGTGTAGTCGAGTTGGTTGTTGTCCTCAAGGAGGTAGTTGGGGGGGAGTTGTGGCATTGCGGGGTAAACCTCAGAGGTGACTTGGGAATAGGTGGGACGGATGGTGGGGATGGTGGAGGTCGTCATGATGGGTTGGGGAAGGGTATGAGAGTGTGGGGGGGGAAGAGGGGTGACGTGGATGGGCAAGGAATGAGGCGGTGTGTTGGATGCGCCGGATGAGGGGGGGGGAAGGGTAGAGGAGGCAGAGGTGGTGGATGTGGTGGTAGAGGTAGTAGGAGTGGAGGAGGTCGGCAGGGGGGTGTGGC